AAGCAATTACCAGAAGCATTAATCGTAATTTACATATAAAAAAAACCATAAATAGGCATCTCAATGTAACGAAAGATAAAACTGACGACACATGATGTATAAAAAGATCGACATCTTAAAAAATCCACTTATGGTTATGTATGCACATATGAACCCTCCCAAAACAAATTACCAGAAGCATTAAGTTGTTTTGGTGGTATTGAGAGAGAGTCTGTTTGATTTAAGCCAGTTGTTTAATTCGTTCCATGTATGAGTTGAGAATTTTGTTTATTTGATTAACATCTTTATCAGAATAAAAAATTGCAGTATCATCTGCATACATGACTATTTTAGAATGGTCAACAACTGGTGGCAAATCGTTGACAAAAATGGAAAATAGCAATGGTCCAAGTATTGTGCCTTGAGGTACACCAAATTTAATGCAGTGAGAGGCATCTGAAACAATGTCACCTTTTTTGGTGACTTGTTTTCTCCCTGATAAGTACGACCGGAACCTGCAGTCCAGCTCCAGACCACAGACACCAATACTAAGAAGCTTTTTAAGAAGTATGGTGTGATTGACCATGTCAAAAGCCTTCTTAAGGTCTAGGAAGACTGCACCTCAAGCCCGCGGGAACGGGAGGTGCTGTGGGTGCTGCAGCACCCCCAACTTTTTGGATTGGGGTGCTGGAATAACCCCTACTCCCGGGCAAAAATGTGTTCCAGCCAGCAGTGTTCTACGACGTTGAAATTGCGCCGCTGCGCTATACATTATGCTTGCTCTACTAATATCTCCTTCGTTTTGTTCGTTTCTAGTTTTGCTAAGCGCGGCTAAGCGCGGCGCTTCGAACGTCTAGCACAAATTATCACTGTAAAATATCCAGAGGAGGTATTTTCTAAATCTTCAGGCAGTGCAGAATCGATATTTCTCTCAATGTATCTAAAATCACGACATGTCTATGATATTCCCGCAATTATGGAAGTTTGACCCGAAAGCAATAACCTCGGCCATGACAATGGTGGCAAAGTTGATTATGCTTGCCAGGATTTGTTTTCATTCGATCTTTCAATAGGGGCACAAGTCCATACCTTTTCCCTGAAGGTTTTTCTTTTCATTAAAAGTTTCATTGACGTCGCTAGCATTCTGTACTCAACATTAACAAATAGCAAGGTTCACACACAAAAGGAGTGGGAGGGCCTTTCATTGGAACTAGTCATGCTTTACGCCAATTCCAGTGTAGTTTCGTTTTAATAAAAAAGCTATTCATATTTTACCCTCTGCATGTAGAAACGTATAAGAGCAACAGTATATTCTGAACAAAAAAGCGAAATAAATTGTCTTTATAATCTCAAAAACTTTTGCTAAAAAAGTCATATAAAAGTGGCCAGGATTCGCCTCAGATTGCACCAGTGGCGTCACCAGACTTTTCAGTCTGGGGGGGCACAGGGGGGGCACCAGCATTTGATGGGGGGGGGGGCACTTAGGTGGATACGGATCGCCGCCCTGGGGGAGAGGTCTAAAGGGAGGGGGTGCCCCCCTCCCCTTTGGAAAATTTTCGCATACGGAGGATGGGCTAGATGCAAAATGGTGCCACATTTGATGCTAAATTCGATCTGAAGATATCTCAAGAAATTGCTATTTTTGAGTTAATGATTTTAACAACGCGCAGAATTTTGCAGAGGAAAGGGGGGGCACCAGCATTTGATGGGGGGGGGGCACTTGGGGGGGCACTAGGTTTTCCAGGGGGGCACGTGCCCCCCCCCCCCCCCCCCCTTGGCGACGCCACTGGATTGCACCACAGCACAGAGCATCCATATTCCAAAACTTTAGGGGCCCTTTAAGCCACGCCGTAAGGGCTTTGCGCTCCGCGTTCGCATTAATTTTGTCCGTCCTTTAGAAATTCCAGCACCCCCTGGCAAAAGTTTGTTCCAGCGGGCTTGCTGCACCTGTGAGTATACAAGCATCAATTTGCTCATGGAGAAAATCTGTAACATCAAGAAGGGCTGTTTGAGTAGAGTGTCTGGGTTGCGAAAAGTAGTTTGAAAAAAATTGTAAATAATTATGTTGCAAAAACAAATTATATATAAATAATGCAGTGGCAAATTAATTTATTTAGGCCTACATAATTATAATGCATATAATGCAAACTGCCAAACAATTATTTATATATAATTGTCCGAGAAGAAATTAATGATAGGTAAATGATGCATTATACATAAAAAAAAAAAAAATCAGCCTAAGGCCAAAAAAAAAAAGTCTCCGGTTTCTGGTATGCGCGCGCGTCGCCGTAGCCATGCGCGTCGGCAAAATGAAAAAGTTTTTTTTCAATGAAAGATGATGTCTCAAAACCGCCAAACTCACTGGTTTGACTGGAATCCTGCTGCTGCACAATTTTAACGTGTTTTTAGATTGGGTTATGGTCGAGAATAAGCTTTATGTGGCCTCTCTGGACTCCCATATATTTGCACTAAGTTTAGTCGGGCACCATTTGCAGTCATCAGCCGACATTTGAAGCAAAAAAATCAGGTAAAAAAAAAAAAAAGCCCCGTCGCCGCACCACTTTTTGGGCAAGCTCCATACCAGAAACCGGAGACTTGTTTTTTGACCTAAATAAGCCGAAAAAAACTGAATTATATAATAAATAATGACTTATATATAAATGATTTTGTTAAATAATGTATTTACACATGGCGCCTCATACTATGCTCGAAACACTGGATATTTCAGTTAAAATGCGACGAGGCGACGGTACGACGCGACTATGCGACGGCACGACGCGACTATGCGACGGCACGACGCGACAATGCGACGGCACGACGCGACTATGCGCCGTTCACGGCGTAAACGGCTAAAGCCCCAAGCACCATTGCCCCACTTGCGACGCGGAAATGGCAGTAATGGAATTCCAAAGTTTACAGCTCCATGCTTCCACTAGCTCTATGCTTCCACCAAGGCTGAGCGTTGTGAGTTCGCTTCCTGGCCCGCCACGTCACGGTATAATTCAGTGTCGCGTTATTATTTCGGGGGCCTGTTTGGGATCAACGAAGGATCGATGCATTGCTTCAAATATCGTGATCTTGAACGCAGTCACAAAAAATCGACAAAACGGATCGCCGGTCCGTACGGAAAAATTAGGACGACCTGAAGTGCTTGATTGCGGAAGACAATCTCCGTATTTTTCTATGGACATGGAGCCATTTTGGCGTCGCGGGAGACCGCGGTCTCGGATCCTTTCAGGAGCGAACATTTCTCGGAGGCCGAGTAAAACTTGCTCTTATTTAGATGGTTGACCAACTTGAATAAAAGTTGAATCGACTTTTTCCTCGCAGACGGTCTCGCAAATTGTAAGAAGTTCAAATTTACGTTTGTTGAAGAGTCCAATGCTGAAACTTAATTATGACCTTCCTCCATCATTCAGAACGTTTGTAATTTTACGGTAACACTCAACATTTTCATTGCAAATGACAACTTCACGTTTGATTGCATTATGATTTATTGTCAAAACTGTACAATCAGCCTTTGCCTGTGTACTACGGTAACCTTTTCACTACGTTTTCCCGGCAATGCAACTGCCTCACAAAATCCCAATTTTAACAGGCCAACGGGAACATTTACAGACAGTTGTCATGGTACATAATTATCATGTGCGTAAATCGGTGGGGAACAGGGGGACCCCCCCCCCCCCCCCCCCCCCACACACACACACACACAGCCATACTTGTTTCACATGACTAGTGTGGACTTTCCATTGCTTTCGTGTAGTTAAGAAAAACCAGTGAAAAAACTCATTTTTCTCAAACTGTGAAAACTCTTTCAACCCAATTTTTTTTCTATGATTCCCTTTAGTGTTTCTCTTCATTCTGCTACATATAAACCTAACCCAAAAATGCCTCTAAACCTGTTTTCCAGAAATGGGGAAACACTGTGTGGACGTGGGCAAGTCCACACAACGTCGGTGCTACCTACATTATGTGGACGTCTTTTGTTCGGAAGTCCACACTGCGTATGTAAGACAAGCTCACACACACACACACACACACACACATTTTAAAGCGGGGACATTGTTTGGTCCCCCCCCCCCCACTTTTTCTTCCCCGAATAAGAATTGTAGCCTACTATAATGATTCTATTGCTCAGAATACCGTGTAGCTGATTCAATTACCCCAAGCTAGAAAATGATGTTTAGGCCTAAAAGATGATCTTTTGCTCAAATTGGTTTTAGTGGTCAGAAAGTGCCTCAGATCACACCACAGAAATTGCTTTTCTATAACTGCATGTCTCCCCAACTATATCCCCCATTTACATTTATCTCCCCACATTTTCATCCCCAACACTACGCCCTACCCGATCTATGATTGGGTAAATCAGCTTGTAATAAATATAAGGGTGGAAGCCGTTAATAGGACCGTGCGAACTTGTATTTCTGTAAAATTTCGACGAAATTGGGTCCTAAAATATCTCTTCTTTTTTTTCAAAATTACGATGGGATTCAGGACTGGTTTTAAGGGTGCTCTTTTTGGATGGACATTTCTCCCGAAAGTTATAGGGTTACCCAAACAAATTGAACAGAAAATGAAGGATGATTCATAACTGTTAATTATTTGTCTCATAGGCCTACATCTTGGAGAGTTGTGTTTTCTTGATCTTGGGAAATTGGGTTATTTACTGGGGTTAGAAAGAATTCCATACCTGGACATCACGTGACACCCTGTCAACAAACTGGTCTGAAAAATTCTAAGTGTTTTCTCAGTAAGTGCTGCAATATTTTTCCTACTAAATTTTACTTTTTAGGACATGTAATCGCTTTGTAATGGCTGATAGGTCATTGCAGGGGAAAATGAGTGATTCATGTACAGAGTTCTTTCCCTGCAGGGATAGCACCCCCCCCCCCCCAAAAAAAAAAAAAAACCAGTTTAAAAACTTTCTAAATGCCGGTCACTTTTGGGACGAGTCGTCCATGTTTGACAGCCCCGCACGATATGCGCCAGTCCTCGACAATGAAAACCAAAGAGACAGACTATTCATGATTCGCAGCAATAACAGTTTTAATACCATTCATGATTTTAAAACTGATGGACATTCACAAGTTATTCTAAATAGAAAAACAAAATGATAATAGAAAAAGGTGGTAACATAATTCAACAGTAAAGGTCCCTCGTTAACAAATACATTTACGCAAGACGGCTGGCTAAACTCAATTTGTTCCCGTGGCAATAGGCAAAGTACTCCTTTCAGTTAGTGGATTTCCCTTTCGGGTGTCGGACTCTGCAAAATAGAAACCCATTATTATGGTGGTGTAAGGTTCTTAACAATAGTTTTGGTCGGTTACTTTTGGATAGTTGGTTACTTTTTGGATACTGCTGCAAATGGTCCACTAATCAGATTTCTATAGCACTATATTTTGGCTTCAAATATGAATTAAAGAAAAGGAGGGGGAAAAACACTTTGACAAGATTACTTGCAGCATTCATACGCAAAGCTGGAAAGGCAATTAAAATACGTTTATTTTAAACAGGCAAACATAGGCCTAGGCATTTCAGTTATTTGCTAAAACTTTGAAAGACCCCACTCGCACTCAATTGTTCAGACCAATGAAATTACACATTGTGGTGTGTCCATGGGAAATAACCTCTTAAACTCCTTTTTTTTCTTCGCTGTGAAGCTTTCATCAACGACAGGACTGCTTTAAGAAACGGACTTTAAAAAACATAAGTACTGTGCTTAAGGTAAAAAATAAATGCAGTCTGCCCAATTTAAATGCTTATTGCAACAATTTAAAAAAAAAAAGAAAATTCAATTTCAATTCAATCATAAGAAAGTTTTAGAATTGATTAATATAGTACTGGTCACAAAATACTTATTAGATGATAATGGCTGTTAAGTTTACTGTCACTTGACCGAAATTGTGAAGAAAAAAATCAGTCGACTTGTGGATTAATGGAGATTTTAGACACCAAGTTGTTTTACAGACATCCCACAGAAGAAAAGATGTTGATGTACTTTTCTGTTGCAAATAAAATAAATAAAACATACAGGTTGCTCAAAATCCTTCACAAAAATATTAAACGTTTTTCTAAATTTTTAGCACCCACTTTTTAAACACTTCATGTGCCTCTTTCAACTAAGTTATACATACACAATAGTATAGTTTCAACATTCAATGGTGTAAGCTTTCTTTTACAAATATTTGATGCTAATGAATCTTCGAAACAATTTACTGTAAAAGACGAAGGATAATCTACAAAACTAATCACACAACAAATCACAGGTGAAATAACGTAAGTGCACATAACTAACCAGCTATACAAATATACATGTACACTATATTTTATGCACAACAGAAACAACGTTACCTACTTAGTACTAGTCATTACATACGTGTACTTAAAACATCTGAAAAGTGGCAATACTTTCACGTTTTGATGACATATACAATGTGCTTACAGGCAGCCAATAATTTCAATTCCCAGATAAAAAAAAACAACAGAGACCATGTCACATATGATTCTTTAATACTAATCTGCACACGCGGTCAAATGAAGCCGATTTCCAATGAGGGGGAAGACGCCAACAGCGCAGTTCTTCACTGCATGTATCTCGCGTGAAATATGGTGAGTTACTTGAAGTTTACACAGTACAAGAACGGAAAAAACGCGAGGTTCAGTGATGCTGTATGGCTGTTTTACCTCTCGGCAACCAACAAGCATGGCTTCACATGTGACATGATCTTCACAGGTCCCTAGTAGTACACAATCTAATCATGTGCTTATTTCCGTAAAATACAAATAACTTCAGTTTGTCATATATCCTGGAATGGTTAATTATTGCAGCACTGAAAGTAAACCTGGCCAGATCTCTGAACAATTTAGTAAACTTCAATACAAAATTAATGATTGCACCATTTACTTAACAATTTTTTTTGGTTTTAAAGTCCTGTGGACATTTCAATACTTTTAATAGGTACATGTACTAACATTTTTCATGTTTTGTAAATTGTGACACAATTTTATGTACTCAACAGCACCTCATATACTTTTTTCTGGCAGTTTTGTTGTCAAGATCATACCAACTGATCTACATGTATTTTTTTTAAGTGACAACATTCTCAATGTTTTGAGAATCTCAAAACATTAACTAGCAGCCAGAAGTGAAAACTAGACAACGGTTTCGTTGATGTGACCCATTCCTATGAATGCAGAAAAGGTATGTATTAGTGCAGCTTAACAAATTGAATTGTAAAATGTAGAAAAAATACTAATATTTGTCGTAGGTTATTTAAGAAAGTTGACTGATGTATTCACTTCTTTGGATATTAAAACAAAAACGATACAGATGCCAGCTCAATATCTTATTTATACATATATATAAAACACATCTGGAAACTATACAGTTATCTTCTTATGAGATGCAACATCTTTCAATTACACAAAAACATGAAAAAATGCTTCTCAATTACCAGAAAATATATTGCACTTTATTTGAGAAAGCATATAACTGAGAAGTTAGAGAAAGTTAAACTCTGGAGGATTTATCTATGTACATGTAGATCCTTCGGTATATGATCCATTGGTCCTATACATAACTGAACTAACACAGACAGGTAGGCCTGAGACGCTTTGTTTACAGGTGCATTTTCCTATGTAGTAGACGGTCCCTACTTTGTCTGGCATCCCGACTTCGCTCCCAAAGGAAAGCGCGAAGTTTACACTCGAGACCAAGCTCCGTTTCTACAACTCTAATGTTTTGCCAACCTCACTCTACAGCTGTGAAACCTGGCGCTGAAAAACAAACCAAGAAAAGACACTTGATGCCTTCGACACAAGATGCATCAAAAAGATCTTGGGCATCAGGTAGAACAACTGCATCGCCAACGAACAAGTCTGTGAGCGAACAAAACAACCTCCAGTGTCCAGTGTGATATGTAGGTGGAGAATGAACTGCTTAGGCCACATCGCACGGCTTCCCCCCTCAAGGCTTGCCAACGAGGTGTTGTGGTAGACCCCAGAGGGAAGGAGAGGCCGGCCCAGATGAGCTGGCACGAGACCATTCAACCATGCAACATGACCTTCATCTACACCTGGTGGACAGCAGCTGGAACAACGTGCAGATGCTAACAGCTGACAGGTCCGACTGGAGAGCGTTGACCGACTCACAAGTCAAATGACGCAGGATCAAGATGGATCCAACCACGCAATCATTTGGAATATTGTATGTAATTGTATGGATAAATTGTGCCCAAGATGTTACAAAACACACACATCCCATAGGACATAATGTGTTATTGCAGTAGGGCCAGCCTACTGTCCATGTTACTGACTCAGTCACTGCCTAACTAGTTGACTGACTGAGTCTCTGATTAGTGTGATATCCTAAACTGCTTAAATGTATATTTTAGGGCCTAAAGGCATTACTAACTGCTATGTGGCCATTTTGTATACATTATACTCTGTGTGGTTGTGAATCCCATGTTTTCTTCATGTAGTTCATGGTATTAAGCAAATTGTGCAGCAGTCATATGTCTCTTACATATTAAAAATGTGGGGCACTCTTCCTGGAAATATTTACCAGTACACAATTACGGCAACAATTACCAGTACACAACGGCAAGCAACTGTATCTGTGGAGAAACTTTTCAACTCCAGCCCAGGTTGCAGTAATTTGTTTGGCTGAGACTGTCCAACTTAGACTGACCATCAGCTTCAATCTTTTGGGTCCAGGTCAACTAGGCAAGCAGAGTCTTGTTCAAAGACAGCTGTGTGGCTACTAGCTACTGCCTTCCAGTTTCTTTCAAAATGAACTATTCATAGCAAGATGAAAAAGGGATGAAACGCTGTCATGTCTTCTGTATTTGAACATTCTAACTGAAGACACAATTTACTGCTTCTACAGTTGCAATATTTCGTGAGTACAGTAGTTCAATAAGAACAGTTGGTAAAATCATTCACGGACAAGCACACATGCTGCCTATCTTCACCTGTTAGAGAGCACTCTTGGAGGTCAAGTTGGCGGAGCTGTTGCAGTTGGTTCAAGAACGGTGCCCACACTACTGCACAGCCACTTAAAGCCTCATTGCCTGATAGGTCTAATGCTGAAAGTTCGGGCATCATACTACATGCCTCGGCAATGTGCTTCATATCATCAAACTTAAGTGAACAAGAGCCCAGGTGCAACTTCTGAATGTGCTGTACATGGCGTAAATACAAAGCCCATGTTCCGCACACGCCACCCAAAGCTGCATTTCCCGCCAACTCTAACACACGAAGGGCTGGCATGTCACTCAATGACAAGGCAATATGTTCAATGTCTGAACCACGCAGTGAGCACCGATTTAATACCAACACTGCAAGGTGCTTCAACTGCTTCAACTGACGGGACCACAGTATTGCTGAGTTTCCCAATGCGTTGTTACCAACAAGACTCAATTCGACCAAGTCATCCCTTGCACCTAAGCCCTCTAAGATATCTGCCAAATCAGTTCCCGTTAATGAACGCTCACTCAGGTAAACCTGTATGCCAGAACTGATTGGCTGAATGAGACACTGGAACCTGCTACCCATGTAATTACTTCGGACAGAACAGTTTGTCAAGTTTGCCATATGACCGATAGACGCAGCTATGTATTTGAATTTCTGTCTTTTGATATTACAGTCATCCAAATCAAGTGTTTCAAGGTGGCTTAACAACTGCACAGAAGCAGCCCATGAAGACACCGTGCCACCAAGAGGACCATTATGAGAGAGTTTCAACTCTGTCAAGTTTGGTATATCACACATTGACGATGCGATATGCTTTATGTCATCCCCTGTCAAGGCACATGAACTCAAGTCCAACATTTGCAGATGTTTCATTTGTTTCAGATGGGGTGACCACAATTTGCACAAGCCTCCCATAGTGTCATTCAGAGATAGGTCTAGCTTGATCAAAGATGCCATGTCTTTTAGTATGGCAGCAATGTGTTCCATATCTGTGCGTTGCAAAGAACAATGATGTAATTCCAACCGTTCCAGATGTTTTAACTGCTTCAAATATGGGGACCACAACTCTGCTGAGCCACTTAGTGAATCATTGCCGCTGAGCATAAACTCTACGAGGTCATTCCTCTTGCTCACTGCTCCAAGGATGCTGGCCAGATCTTTGCCAGTTAAGGAACGCTGACTAAGGTCAAGGCTAATGCCAGTGTCAGTCGGCTGGACAAGAAATCGTCCACTCAAATAAGCACTCTTGACTGAACAATCCACCAGATTTGGCATGTCACCGAAGGATGCAGCAAGATGCTTCAAATCTTGTTTGTTCAGATTGCAACCCAACAACACTAGGATCTTAAGATGCTGCATGGACCTCACATGAGGGGCCCATGTGACTGCATGCTTGCTCAATTGCTCGTTGCTTGAGAGGTGCAACTCCATGCAATTGGCCATATTGCTCAGAGGCACAGCAATGTGTTTGACATCTTTGCTTGTCAGTGCACACTGACGCAAATAGAGCTGTTGGAGTGATCTCATCTGGTCAAAGTAAGGTGCCCACATGCCAGCAGAGCCACCCAAAGACTCATTGAAGGAAAGGTCCAACATAACAAAGTTGGCCAAGCTACTGAGTGAAATTGCAAGCAGCTTTGCATCATCACCCGTAAGTGAGCAATACTTGAGGCTCAACTTCTGCAGGTGCTTCATGACCTGCATGTGGGGGGCCCAGGAAGCACCCAATCCACCCAAGTTATTCTGCGACAGATCCAGTTCTGCCATACCAGGCATCTCACTCACTGATTCGGCAATATGTTCAATGTCTGTGTCTACCAGAGAACAGTCACTTAAGACCACCTGTTCAAGGCACTTTTGGTGTTTCAGAGGATTGAACCAGAGAGCCGCCGAGCCACTCAACCCTTTATTTCTACTGAGAATCAACTCAGCCAAGTCACTTCTTTTGGTCATTGCCTCGACAATATCTGTCATGTCAGTGCCTGTCAATGAACACTCAATCATCTCTAGTCTGATACCACTTGTTTCTGTACAGGTCCTGCTCACAAGAGGGTTAGTGGGCCAGACTAGGTCATCCTTTGGGGAATGACGATGCACATCTGTTTGAACAGTGCAATCCTGAAGATTGCCCATATGCCCAACAGTTGCAGCAAGGCATCGGACATCCCTTCGGTTCAAATGACAGTCCTCTAATTTCAGTTTCTCCAACTTTTTCAGTGCCTGCAGATGAGAGACCCAAGAAGGCAATGAGCCACCCAGACACTCGTTGCCTGAGAGGTCTAGAACAGTCAAGTTGGCTGCGTTGCCCAGAGATGATGCAATGTGTTGCATGTTTCCTTCTGTAAGTGAGCATGCTTTGAGGATCAAGATTGACAGATGAGTCAATCCCTGAATGCAATATGTCAACGATGCATCCCATCTCTGCAGGTTACATCTACATATTGCCAATTCCTCTACACTGCCAAGGATAGCATTGCTCCTTCCCTGTGACTGATCCATGATCTGTTTCACAAACCACATGTATGCATTCACACCATCACTGTTGCAGTCTTCAATGCACACTGCCTTGGTCAACACCTCATTTACAAGGTTCTGGCATGGCAAGCTCTTGGACTGACTCTCAAAGAAACACACCAAGGCCAGTTTCAATGCCGAGTCACTGGCTGGATTTCTCAGCACCTTAATGACATGATTTGCGCATGCTTCGTTGTCGCCACAACAAAAGCGAAGAAGACACTCGAAACCAGCTGGGTGGTTCTTGATCGTTCTCTCTAGTTTTTCCAGAATCTTCTGGAATTCCTTTGGGTCAGTTGTTAACAAGCTCTGAAAGTACTGAGCCGCACAAAATTCTTGGAAGGTCATGTGCATGAACTGAATACTGTTCTGGATGATCAAACCCTCCAAGACCCTCTGACTGGTGACAAGACCTACTTTAATCGCCATGCTCAGCACAGTACGCTCAAACTCACTCTCATCAAATGAAAGCAACTGCACTGGGGAAATCAGACCATGGAAAGCAATCTTCCCAATTTCAATCACTACTCTTGACACTTCATCGGGTGAAGTGTCTGCTTTCCGCTTAAATATGTATCTCAGTGCCTCACTGTACAAGCGGAACATTGTCTCTGGGAGACAAGAATCTTCTCTCCACAACACACACATCAACAGGAGCAGCATTGGACTCCTGGCTAGATCAAGTAACACATCAGAAGACTGAATCCTCTCAAAAAGCTGCCGAGCTTTCTCAGGCTCTTCATCAATGTAGAATTTCCTTACATACTCCTCAACATCTTCTGCACTAAACCCTAGAACCTTGACATGAGTGAAAGGCTTCCGAACCAACAAGTTGTTCGCCAATCTGTTGAAATGAGAGGAGCGAGTTGAGACAACCACACAACTATCTCTGCATTCCTTGCGGGTTAGGATATTGAGGATGGAGCCGAACGCATGCTCATTGAGGTTGGTGGTCATGAACTCATCAAAACCATCTAAGAGAATGAGAACCTTCTCAGGGTTAGCATTAATGTAAGATGTAAGGGCATGCCTATCTATGGGCGTGTCTCGATCCAAGAGCTGTGCAAAGACTGCATCAATGAGCTCAGAACTTTGTTCTAGTGAGTGCATTTTTAGAGCAAACACAAGTTTGAACTTCCGCAACACACGAACAAATTTCATGGCCCAGTCGTAAGTGACTTTGTCAATTAGGGTGGACTTCCCCACACCAGCCAGACCATTCAGAATGATCCGTCTGATAACAACACCTTCCCTGGTTTCAACTAGAAATATCCCCTTATATGACTTGATCTTCCCTTCTTTGCCAACACCTACTAGCTGTAGGTTGGTATAGATATCCATAATATGCTTTGTGTCATCATCAACCCATGGGATCATTTGAACGTAGCTGCCCGTAGAGGTGTACCAGGATCGTAATGCCGCCTCGCACTGATCAGCAGCAGCTTCAGCTAGTGCCGCTTCCTGTATCTTGCTAGCTACACTGCCTTCTCCATGAGGTAAAGGCTGCGTGTTGGGCTTACCACTTGGTGACAGGACCTCTGTAATGATTAAATGTGCAAACATGTACATGCACTTTTAACTTCATATCTGGAGAAAGACATACACGTGCACGTACCTAAAAAATGTGGCATTTGTGGCAGTGTCTCAAAACTGGCATGGGTCTATCCATATTTGGTTTACTGAATAGCCTAATGTTTTAATAATTTCAAAATTATTCAGTAGGAGTGATTCAAAATCACAGTAACCTTTTGAGGGCACGTACACTGAATTGTAAAGCATTCCTTGTTGTTTCTGCTGTTGAACAAGGAAGGTACATGTATGTTACAAAGAATTACCTGGTGTTGGCAATTTACCATCCTGCCTTCTGGTAGGGTCCTCTTGTGAGACATGCTGATTTTCCAAGATAGCTTCAAGAGAGTATGGTGGTTTTGTAACTGGTTTGTCTTGCCCTTGGTCTGCAAGCCAACAGCAATACACCTATCCATTAGATCCAGCCCAGCACAAACAAAAACAAAATATGTGCCTCTCCACTATTGCATTTTCTGGCCACACACATCTAAAGTCTGCTGCACTTGAGAGCTATGTGCTGAGCAAAAAGTCTCTCGAGGCCGTTTGCTCAGCACATAGCTCACCGTGTTAGGTGAAATATTGCTGCGTTTTCTGCCTCACGAGGCCGTGAGGCAAATTTTTATCCTGTTTGAATTCTTTCGCCTCACGAGGCGAAAATCTCATCATGTGCGGTGGGCTTGAGTTACGTGCTGAGCTAAAAAGATTAACTAACCAATGAAAGCACATTATTCTTGTTTGTCAGTTGGGTGATTTTTTTTTAAAAAAGGTGGACAAATGCCAGCAGGCTTTGGAAAATTTGTGCAAAAATATCTTAAAATCACGTGTACAGAGTCTGTGATTTCATTGGCTAGTTAATGATTTTAGCTCAGCACATAGCTCAGGTTCGCCGCACAGGTTGAGTTTTTCGCCTCGTGAGGCAATAGAAATCATACAGGATACAAATTTCGCGAGGCAGAAATAGCAGCAAAAAATCAAAGCACACGGTGAGTTACGTGTTAGGAACGGCCTCGAGAGACTCTTTGCTCAGCACGTAGGTGTGCGGTGGGCTTTACACGAGTGCACCCAAGTCAGACATTTGTAGAACATCAATCATGGCTGTGATTGGTCCAAATGTCATGGGGCAGGGCTTAATGGATATGTCTACTAACAATTCAGCCTTAGCTTTGTGTATAGAATACTTGTTAAATCCAGATTAAAGCCCGAGTCCATCATTTGCAGCTATCCAAAAAAGTAACTGGCGTAATTATTGTTGAAAAACATACTGGTTGAAAGATAGTAAGGGGACTAAACTCCCTGTGAAATTATCCTTTCTGGCAAGCTCTCATTTTGAAGAAATCAACGAAAGAAGGCATTTCCAATGGTGCGTCTTAAGAAGCACCGTAGGAAATTTAAATTAGTAGTTCGTTTTGTTATTCGGCGCAGCGCGCACAAGCATTGGAACGACGCACAGGTACGCACGGTTGCTATAATTCGTCGGATCAGTGCGCGACATCGCATAAAGCTGCAATTCAAAACAATTCGAAACATGATTTAGCAACTGTTGATTTGAAATTGAGATCCTAGAATGCTGTTTTTCTCGGAATATAAGCTGAAGCTGAGCTGAAACTTCATCAAGTAAGTTGTTCAGTATCCTTCATTAGATTTTGAACACTTTTGTTGCTTCAAACGAACAAAATGCACAAATTACAAATGATGGACTATAGCTTTAAGAAGGATCATATGAATTGCCGTTTTCTTTTACCTTTGGGTGCAGACACAACAGTGACGTTGAAGGTGGGCTCAATAATTGGTCCAAAGAAACATGGGTTTTCATCGCCACTGACGTTGACATTCTCCACACGGCAAACATGTTTTGAAGACACTTGAACATGTTGAGGCATACCAAATCTATCAGGTGGTCCTTGATGCCAAAAAAAAGTAACATGCTAAATTTACAACCTCATATTGAACCCATTGTAAACAATTCTGAATACCCACAGACCAGAGGCATTTTGTTTAACCTTCCTGCAACGGGTTATAAAAACACAGGAGAAAGTTCAGAACTTGTACATGTGTACAAGTTCTAGAGAAGATGCAATCTCTTCCCTTCCACGCTGACTTATATTTTCACAATCAGCCAATGCTGGTGCAATCGATAGATGCTTGGGTTAATGACAGATTGCAAGTAAGTACTGCCAGATATGAAATCTGTAATATTACTCTAGGAAGGTGAAGACATCTAGTTTGTATTTGTGCGTAAATATTGAGATCAGTTCAATCAAACAGTCTTGTTCCGTAGTTGTGGAATGGTAAACTGGTTACATTTTCAAGGAAATATAAAAAAATACACAAAAAGATTTTAACTTTTACATTGTCAAACTTGCAGTTTCATTCATTCACAAGACGAGGAACATTTCTACTGATGGATCTAAATTACAGATTTTTACGAGTGCTACTCCAACATATTTCCATCCTATTTTACCTGGTTGAGAACTCTTGAGCAGATCTTTGGTAGTCGGTAGTCTATTGGGCTCCTCTCCTTGATTCATGGGTTCATCATTTCCAGGTGGCACTTTGCATTGGTCACTGACTTGAGGCATATCGCTGCGACAGTCTCTCTTCCCCCTGACCTTTCGCAGTACTGACTGTAACCTGGAAGAAGGCTTCTTAGCTGACGACATGACTGTGGGCAAATTTATGACAGGTATTTATGCTGAACATGCATGTTATTAATAGGTTTTGTTCAAATGACGTCATTTCCTACAGACCATCCACTTGCATCAGCATTTTGAGCGTCAACTTGCATAACGCGCATTGGCTGTGTCCTATTTCGAACACATTTGGAGCAACAAGTTTGCATGTTTGGAACATTTTCAACACTGTGCAATGCGTGTTTGATTGCACAAAATACGCAGTTGCAGTTCTCCTACAGAGATGGCCGTCATTGAGTAAGCCCTATTGCGACTGGTATATGTATGTATATGTATTATCTCTCTGTTTTGAATTTGCACTGCTGGTGGAAAGCAAATTTTCACATGCTTAACTCTTTCAGTGCCAAAGTCATACATGTACGAGGTATATTTGTTAGTTCGAAATTGCCAACCTCGTACATGTACGAGGTACTGATGTGCAAACCCGACCCAAAACCGCCTTCGGGTCGGGTCGGGTCGGTTTGTCCCTCTTTTCAGTCGGGTCGGGTCGGTTTCGGTTTTGCATTTACATTTTCGGGTCGGGTCGGTTTAGCCATCTTTAGAAAAAACCCCGAAATAAACAGAAATAAACTGAAATAAACCGAAACAGTTGAGAAATTCAGGTGATGCAATATTATTGACAGTCACTGTGACCGCAGCCCATTGTGTGGTGTGGCCACCGAGCGCACTATCAAGTTCCCACGATATTAATTTCTCCATTGGGATCGGGACTGACAGTGAAATAGATAGATTGTAACAGTTTTCATGATATATGTACCATGCATTGTTTAATAAGCGGAGTTACTCTCGATCAACCCACTGAGTATGACAGAGAGAGACGATGGTTTGCAAAAGAATTCATGCCACGTGGGTAAGGGCAGGCACAAAAAAGTGATCACTTTGTCCAAGCCAGGTTTTCGGGGGGGGGGGGTTTCGGGGGGTTTTCGGGTCTGGTCGGTTTGGGTCGGTTTGACCTTATTTTTTGTCGGGTCGGGTCGGGTCGGTTTGAGGGAGTAAAGATCGGTTTCGGTTCAGATTTGGTTTACATCTCTAATGTTTCGGGTCGGTTTGGCCTGGTCGACCCGACCCGATGCACATCATTAGTACGAGGTAATGTTCGAACTTAAAATCGCCAAACCTCGTACATGTAAGAGGTAGAGTAAGCATGTTATCACAAGGGGGCGCTCTCGCTCTTTCTAATAATATCATTTTCATTCAGGTACGACCTGTATTTATTTGTTTCATTGAAGTTTTTGCGAGAGGGCGCCGCACTGACACTCGTATTTTCTGCAAAAAGTGCGGTTTCAGGGTGTATCACTATGTACGTGACTACTATTGACTTTCCAATGTACCAAGGATATACCAGAGAGCAACAACAAAAAATTTAGTGAGTAAAACTTATTTCCTTTATTTTTTTACAGAATTTTGAACAATTACAAAAAACACTCGAAGTTGGGCACTTAAGGGTTAAACTTTTCAAATTTCGCGGGCACTGAAAGAGTTATTGTGGACAACAAATTATCATATCATATCATACTTTCGTTGCCTCTGAACAGAACAGTGTTACGTCATCGATTTACACACCTGTAGGTCGCCTGTATCTCTGTGATCTACAGATGTAACCTCATCTCTACAAAGTTGTCAAATTGGGATACTATCAAGTCGGTCATTACCTTGAGACACGCCTGGTGTCTGGTGATGTCTAGGAGACACTCTACTTGAGTCATCAACCTTCTCTTGTGATGTCACTTCACCGTCTGGGCATTCCTGTTCATCAGGGGCAATAGAAATCATACAGGATACAAATTTTGCGAGGCAGAAATAGCAGCAAAAAATCACAGCACACGGTCAGTTACATGTTAGGAACGGCCTCGAGAGACTTTTTGCTCAGCACGTAGGTGTGCGGTGGGCTTTACACGAGTGCACCTAAGTCAGACATTTGTAGAACATCACTCATGGCTGAGATTGGTCAAAATATCATGGGTCAGGGCCGACTTAATGGAAGTGTCTTCAGCCTTTATAGCTAAGTGTATAGACTATAAAATATGTTAAACATAGATTAAGAAGGATCATATAAATTGCAGTTTTCTTTTGCCTTTTGGTACAGACACAACAGTTCATCAGGGGGGCTTACATCTTTCTTGCTTTGCCTGCCTCTTCGAAATAGACGATGTAGTAGTGATTGCACTCTGGATGGCCTTTTTGTAGACTGGACTGTAGAAATAACAGGAAAAGAAATTCCCCAAGATCAACCTCATGCACTCTAGATATATCAACTCTGTGAATGAACATCAGATGGTGCTTTACGGCCAAATTTGAGTGCCCCAGTGGGAGGGACACACCATGTATGCGTACTGGATCGCGTACAAGAAGTGAAGTACACCACTAATTGTATTTTGAACATACACAAACATGTATGGTGTCTTCATGACTGTGAACACCAGGCTTACAGTGGCAATTTGTTAACCCTAAGGCCTAAAAAAAATAACAGTTCTGCTTCCGGTTACCCTACATGAACCTACCCTATTTTGACAGCCCCTACCCTAATTTTTTTTTGGGGGGGGGGGGGGGGGGGGGGGGGGGAAATGAGGGAAAAAACCTGAAAATCATCAATTGCTACCTTTTACCCTTGACTACACGCAGACACCTCCATATGATCGTACACAAAAATTTGCCACAAAAAAAAATCCCTACCTACCATACCTTATTTTTAAATGCCATGTAATCTGAAGCAGAAATGTTTTTTTTTTTACCTAACCCCCATATATATAGCTTACTTTGGGGTAAAGTACCATGTACTACAGAAATTATGTATGCAGTACCCAAATACTAAAAAACACTATGAGTGCTGTGCCCACTTATATGCTGAAGTACTGTAGTTCATACTACAGTTTACTACTAGTAGTATTTTGTAGCTTTAGGTGAGGTTGGGGTTAAAGAGTCTCTCCCCCAAGCTCTCTTTGAAACTGTTGAAGGAGGACTTGTGCACGGGCATAAACTCAATGTGTGCTGTCATTTTCTTTCTGGTATTAATTGCTTCTGCCAACAATCTCTTTTTGCCATGCAAAATCTTTTTACGGTGGCTACTTGTCTCGAGGATTAGACATCCACGTGTGCACAGCCACAGTCAAATGTCTGATAACTATATGTATATTTTATGCGACCCTGTGCGCCAGCCAATCAAAAACTGTGACGACTAATCATTTCGATCAGAAATGTGGACTAAGCTGTTGATTGGTCAATTTTGATGCAATTTTATTGTAACAACGGGTTACCGAAGACCCGATACAGAATGCGCCGGCAGTCTTGTTACAGCATAATTAATCGCTGAATCTGTTGCATATCATAGACCAGGCATGCAACTGGGAATTTAGAAAAACGAGGAAATTCCAAACCACACAAGATTTTGTACAGTGTTTTTCAATTTGGAATGGCATTCATGAAAAGTAAAAAACGAGGAAATCAGCGGATCCGAGGAAAAGTTGCATGCCTGTTAGACCCTTGCAAGGGGATATTCCATCGACTAGGTGGCGACCAGATAAATTTTAAATTTAGATCAAACAAGTTTGGCCTTGAACTTGATGCCTCTAATTTAACTTCCCTCACGCCTTGAGACGGAATACTCCATTCTGCAAAGGTTAGTTGAAGAGAAAAAACTTTTTTTTGTAAGTAATTATTTCTTAGGTTTCAAATAATTATGAAGTAGTGTTCGTTTATATTTTCTGTTTATAGTCTGGCGTCGGTAATTAAAAAAGTGCTTATCAAATCTTTCTTCTTTTTTAAAATTCAAGTGTGCATCTGTGCACAGGACCCTAATACCGAAATTATAACAAATACATCATTGGGTGCCCCACAAATAAGTGACGAATACAAAACGTTTGTCACAGCTTCCAAACCACAAAGTCACGAACCATCTATGCACACAATCACAGGATCAACAACATGTACATGTATGGGGGATAATTCCAAGTAGGAATCAGAATTGTGCTTAAAACCCATTTATATACGGAATCACAATACATATAGGGCTGTATGCTTCTGAAGTGTATGGTTCTGAAGGTCAACTACATGTATGATTACAGCAGTACACCTAAATGGTACACAATACACACATATTGAAATTTGTCGCTAATGGGCAAAGTTTATAGCACACTAACAAAGGCTAAATCCTGATCAAATTCCAAATGATAACAAGTACTGGGCAATGTTTTCACAATAGTTTACATGTAAAGAAGGCCTTGTTTTCACAATTTTAAAGTTAACATTGTTTTCACAATAATTCACAATAATTCAATGACGCAAGCCATGCGCTCCTAGTTAATTGAAAACTTTCATACGAAAAAAGCACATGTACCACTACCAGGATTCATTGTCTGTCATACCCGGTATGACCATAGAGCAAGGACCCAAGGAGTTCGTACTCCAAGACTTCAAAAGTAAAATGATGGTCGCCGCGCTCGAAAGCTACAATAGAAAGCACCTGGCGCCAGCTTGCTCAGTTGCTCACTACGCTAATCTCGACACAATAGAGATCCGCGCTCACTAATGCCAAAAAAAGGAGTTTGCATGGCTTCGTAGACAGTACCATGGTAAATACGCATGCGCAGTTGTCATACATCGCTAAAAATGAATGATTTTGAAGTGTTTGTTCGGAGTTGGCTAATAATTTCATGAAGAACAAAATGCTCTGTACCTTTAGTGTGAAAACTTGTGAAATTTTCCAAAAAAACACATTTATCAATGATATATTGCCAATTAAAATGTCTGAAAATACATGAAAACTTATCTGAAAGAAATCCAATTTATCTCCAAATTACAGGGACAGATAACGCTTTTAAGCACCAACAACTGCACATTGCTAACTTGAGTTCATAACTCACATCTAACAACTGCGCAGTTGTAAAAACCTATCTTGTCGTAAAATATATTTTTCAAAAAAGAGCAGCGACGTGACATGACTTATTATGCAGCATATAGGGAGGTTGTTGGTTACCAACTAAAAAGGCGGCGACGATCATCGTGTTCAAAGGCCGCTGGCATTCACGCTTTGAATGGTCGAGGCTTGCGGTCACAGTGCTGTAGCTATAGACATTCCCGAGGGATTGGTATGTTAATGGTCAAAATGTAAATCGCCCAAGAGTTCTGACTCCTTGGGTCCTTGCTCTATGGTATGACATACAGGTAACGGTAATACATCTCAGGAACAGGAAAGGTAAAAAATACACCTGCCAATCACACAAATACACGTAAGCTGTAGTCCCCCCCCCCCCCCCCCCCCGCCCCCCGCCCAACAAAAAGGAGGAAAATCAGTTCCAAAAGTAGCTTATGAAATTGGCTTTCCAGTTATTATTATTTTTGGTGCTACACATTTTTTAGAATATGAAATATATTTTTTGTGGTTTGGGATCCGCTTTTTTTTTACTGACCCTGTACATGTACAATGTATGTATTATTTCTTTTGCTTTGTTTGCTGAGCTATCAGGATTCCATGTACATAAACATGTAGGGTATGTACATGTACAATGTACATTGTGTGTGTCCATCAAAGAAGCATTTACAACAATCAAAAGCTGCTTGCATTTGTACATTTTGTACATGTAACCAACCGTGAAGCATTACAGGTCCTTTCCAGCCAATGTAGAACAGATTTTGAGTTTTTACAAAATACACGTGTACACATGGACATGTAGCAACATTTGGTGCCTTTAGTTTAAAGGGAATGTACATCATTGGCTTTTGCTGTAATTTTCAGAAATGAACTATTTGAGGGGTTAGTATAATAGATCAAATATTGTTACCCTGACATGTTTGAAGTTTTGTGTTCGAAAATGCTGGAAAAACCAAGAAAAACAAAAATGTTCAAGTAGTCTGGTTCCCTGACTCCACTAAGGATAAAATGGATCAATTTGTAGGTGCCGGAAAATTGTAAGGTAAGGGAACCAGTGCAGCTGGCATGCACCCGTTCATGACCATGTAACAAATAGCAAACAAAATTTGGACGGTAACTTAGGTAAATTTGGAGCAGAAGTTGAAAAATAGTTAGGTTTTTCCAACGGTGGTCGGCCGACCACCGTAAGAAATGTATACAAAAATACCATTTTCTTGAAAATGACTTCACACCGTATGCCATAATTTTACAGGATGCTTTAGACTGTCATTTACCATCATCCTAGTAAGGTATTTTGTAAAAACTTGATGGTTTTATATTTCAATGTTTGCAAATGTTGTATATTCCCTTTAAGAACACTCTTGAGTAGGATGAAGTACAATAAATGCATTATTATTGACTAGTTGCTGCATAATCACCAGGCTCAGGATTTTTACTACATGCAGACCCAGCAGACGCTGCAGGGGGGAGATTGGATGCAGGCATGTCATCTTGTCCTTCATCTTCTGCCCCCGAATCATCCTCAGAAGACATCTCTGCATCACCAGGAGGCATCCTGCCTCCTTTCACCTTTCTTCCTGTCTATTTCCTGTAAGAAACAATCAGTAATCAGCGGTAATATCAAAGCAATAAATGCACACTCACAATCCCTGTTACTTTTGCCTTAACCCTAACTCCCTAGGCCTTTTTGCTGTAGCCTCAATCCTGCAAAATCCTCCAATTGGCCTCATGGAAAAATAGCATATAGCCTCAATCCTGCAAATTCCTCCGCTATTTCTTGAATATGGTCCATGGAGGGGTGACCACTGCCTGAATCCTGCAAAATCCTCCGGCTATGACTGTCAATAGGCCGAGGCAGAGGCAGTGACATCCTGGAGCAGTGCGGAGGATGTCAAGTATCATCAAGGACTAAATTTATGCACGGCTGAGCATAAACAACACAAGGTCCGGCCCAAGACCTTGACACAGTGCGTACTCCAAAATCAGCAACGCACTTTTGCCATGTAACTTCAATCCTGCAAATTCCTCCAATTTGCAAAAAGGATTTTGGAGGATTCAGGGCGGTTAGGGTTAAGGAAAATGAGGAAAAAATGTTGAAACCTGATGCCACTTCCGCGATTGTGTATACAAAGTCTATGGAGAGTCGAGATTTTTTAAAAGTATTTCCTAACAAAATTGGAAATGTTTCTCAGTCCCAGATTCATGTCTTATCATCATTTTTGCTATGAATGACCTTCATTGAGACAATATGAAGAAAAAAAGTGGCATCAGGTTGCAACATTTTTTTCTGACAATGATTCCACAATCTCCAAATTCTTAATTAATGTATACATTTAAATAATGTAGACATTTAGAAACCTCAAAGCTTGCCAAAATTTGCCGGTCAGTTTAAAATGCACACAGGGACTTTCCCTTCCTGACACTGGATTGCGAAATCACATCTGAGATTGTACAGTACATAAAAAATACTTGGCTGATCACAGTCCTTGTAGATGCTGCCAAGATGTGACATCATGATGAGGATAAAGTGAATTGAATTGAATCACTGGGGGTGGGGGATTCATAGATTCAGGCCATATGAAAACAGCCACACAGGGACTTTCCCTTCCTGCAATGGATTGTGAAATCCCATTTGCGATTATTCATAAGATGAAATTTTGAGATTGTTATTGGAAGAACATCGCTGATCACAGTCCATGTATAGATGCTGCCAATGCAATACCAAGCTGTGACATCACTCGAGGGGGGGGGGGGGAAGGGGGGTGGGGGAGGGATGAGGGGGGGGGGGCTGGACAAAATCTGACTGGCTACATACATAACCGGCATGACCGGTACCTGTTCCCAATTTCGCGAGGCTACGGTCCAGCAGTCCAAATGACGTCAGATGTCATGATTTGGACTTTGAAGCAAGGTTAGGCCTATAAAAGCATAAGGTTTTATAATTAACTCATTGTAACTCCAGCTCCATTCATTGCTCATCAGGAATATTGACATTTAACGTCGAATTCCTGATGAGCATTTTGGAGCTGGAGTTACTCAGCTCCTTCCACACCTAGCTCCATGGTCATATCCATCTATTCGCGCTTGCACGGCACCTGCGCGAAGTCAAACTGGCCTGGATGATGATGCCTAGCGGCGATACCTCCATGGTCTATTTTTTTCCTCCACTGTCCAATGTCCAATCATAAGGAGGCTTCATCGCCTGATTGCTAAAAATTGTCCAGTGTAATAAAATCCGTGCAGAATGATGAATACCAAACCTTAATGCTGCGAATTATGAGCTGATGAGAGACAAACCTTCGTTACATTCGAACCAAGAACTTAGAAGACTTCAGTTTTTCCAATGGAAGTCCACATACGGTTCATCAAGATAGCCTCCTCTTCCTTGTTTTGCTTCGTGAAGATTCTGATATTCATTTGCGATCTTTTCTCAAAAGAGGGCGCTGTTTACGATTCGGTTCCTTCTCTATTTTTATGATTGCACAATCACGATTAATTCCGTAGCAAAGGCAGACAGCACGCAACGTGCTTGATCGGTTTATGACTTTCTAGATTCTCCCGACTGCAGGAACTTTGAAAAATCCTTTTGTTTTTGGTAAATAACTCTTCATTCATTAACATAATAGATTTATACAAATGTTCTGTTAAATACTTTACCTAGACCTAGTAATATAGTAATTGGTAGACCCGTGAACGTGGCTTGTAAACTATGCCACGCTCTTCTTGTACATGTTCGAACCAAGCAAAATCGTCCTTCCGTGACAAAGACTGAACATTGCCTTACAGTGCGATAAGTATTCACATATCAAGCTTTCTTGAACATGTTGAAATCTGCTTTTACGCCAAATCTGGCATCGAGGTAAAATCTGGCAAGATCTCGACGTCCTGCAACCTCCTCCGATCATGCTCTTTAAGTGTTAAGCACAAATACAGAAATAAATTATTGGAAAAATATTTAAGTACTTAATAGTCCGAGTAACTTGGACCCAACTTATCGCCTTTTTTAACATTTGGACATGGTCTGGCGATAGTCGCCAGACCATGTCCAAATGTTAAAAACGGCGATAAGTTGGGTCCAAGTTACTCGGACTAAGTACTTAATTGGTTTTTTTGTGTGTTTTTTTTGGTTGTTTTTTTCACGGGGTTGCAGCTGCATGTTATTCGAATATTCATGTCTGGTGTTATGTCCTTATGTTTAGTTTGTGTGTGTAACTTGTAATATTTTTGTATGATTGTAACTGGGGATCACTACTTGACAAGCATTGCTTTTTAGGGATCCCCATCCACATATTTTGTATACATTTAACTCTGATTGTCTTTTTTTTTATGTGGAAAATAAAGTGAATTGAATTGAATTGAATTGAATGTGATTTACCATGTGATAAATGCTGCAGATAATTTGGTATCGCACTGACGCTCCGGGCACTCCTGATGTCCGGATCATTAGTGCGATTCCAAATTATTAGCTGCGTTTATCACGTGGTCTCATTATTGGCCAAACAGACGCCGCCTATCATATGCGCCACATGCATGCAGACGGGTAGCTCGGAGGGTTAAAATCTAATTTCTACACGTTCGTATGGGTCTTCATTGATGGCAAATTTCGTCGAAATGACACATCCTGAACATGCGGACGGGCAAATTTAGATTTCTAGGTGAGTACTCAACATCCATACGAAATGATGTCTGGCGGATCGATTTCGCTAGGTTCGAAAATACACAACAGCGTGGCATTGTATACAACGCCACATTCACGGGTCTAACTTGGACCCAACTTATCGCCTTTTTAACATTTGGACATGGTCTGGCGAAAGACCATGTCCAAATGTTAAAAAGGCGATAAGTTGGGTCCAAGTTACTCGGACTAAGTAATTGGTATCTTCCTAGTATGATTAACATGATTAATGTCATGATTGGAAATTTGATGTAGACTAGACCGGCTAATTGAATGGGGGTAATGTGCATGCACGTGTTCCACATGTCAAATTGTCAACTGACTCAGAAAAGAAGGACTGCATCTCTCTATGGGACTGATGACATCATTCATATGCATAAGGTATATTAATTACCTTCAATTTGTGTGTGACAACGTGCGTGCGTTGCAAGCGTTACCTGCGCATAATTAGCTGAGCACTTCAGTAACTCCAGCAGGAATTCACATGTAACGCTGGAGACGGAACTCCACAAAATTGTCCTTTTCCCCTCTATTCCCAATATGTAAATAACATTGGTCTGTCGGAAGGGATCCGTCCTTTGCTTTGTCTCCAAATGGTGCACTTTATACAATTTAATTTAAAGGAAAAGTCTGAAGTCACTTGGTCTAGAGTTAAGTCACCTGTGCAAGCAAGGGCGTCAACCACTTCTCAAAAGTGGGGGGACATATACCTAATTGATCAGAAATTATGCAAGCATGGCAAGTGCGAAACGTGAAGCCCTTACACTACAGCGTGGGATTTGGGGCGGGGCCCCGGAAAATTGTGTGTTCCAGACGCTCTGTGGTGCAATCTGAGGCAATTTCTGAACACATTCACGCATTTTTTGAGCAAAAGATGATCATTTAAACAGGGGTACACCCCTGTCCCCCACCGATTGACACCTGTGAGTGCAGGGGCCATGTTTTATCTGCCATTGTGTATCTTTTCTATCCCTACACCTACATTTTAGATGTTCATGCATTTGTAAGAAATTTCTGCACAGTTTTGATATTTGGCAATCTGCTCCCCCAGGAATTTTTTTCGTTGCTGAAAAGTTGTTTTTCATTTTCTTTATACAGATATGCAAATTTACCTGTAATCATACAACTTGTTTGAGTGGCCAGATACTTGTTAATGATTTGATCGTCTGAAGTGGTGGGCGGAGTCCTGAGGCAGAATGAGGGGGGTTGACGCTGAGCAGCTTGCTAAGCTACAGGAGAATCCTGCCAACATCCGCAACATTTGCATCTTGGCACATGTTGACCATGGTGAGTTGAACCCAGTCAGAAAACCGCTAGTCAGTCTGTCGTTTGTCATTAGCCAAGATGTACATGATGAAAGAAGTACGTGATAAAGTTGTGATTATGGGAATAAATATGCGCTTGGCCAGTTTTAAACAAGGCCGTTTAATACCGGCTTAAGGAATCGACACTGATAATGGCCCGAGCCAAAAGCAAGGTACATAATCAGTGACATGGCCCTAAGCCGGTCTTAAACTGACTTGTTTGATACTGGCCAAGCATATATTTATTCTCAGTCACAGCATATTTTCAGAGCATTCTAAAATGTAGTGAATTATGTACATTTTTCAAATTGTACATGTAGCTGTTCAATTCATCAATTATTTTTTGAATGTATCTTGTTGGATAGGCAAAACCACAATGGCTGACGCCCTTATTTCGAGTAACGGGATCATCTCGTCACGCATGGCAGGGAAGCTGCGTTATCTGGACAGTCGACAGGATGAACAACTACGGGGTATCACCATGAAATCAAGTGCAATATCGCTTCGCTTCAACCAAGGTATAAATTCACCAATTTGTTTTGGGGACTTAACTTCTTCTTTGAACACTTAAGTTGGACTGCTGAAGGCCCGAAATAGGGCTGCTGCTGTATGGGCTCCGTGCACCAACAAAAGAGGGCACCCTTTTACCTAGCAACGACATCCCATGGGCGGGACACTACATTTTGCTGGTTGACGCGCATGCACCGTTCCTTAATTGTGTGTGACGTACGTACACCAGGGATTTGTACTATGTACACGCAGTGGCCGTGCTTCGCGACAAAATATTGCAGTCAGGCAAGATGGCGTATTTCGGTCACCCCCGACTGTACTTTCTTTGCCGGTGAGGGGATACTTGTGAACGGAGCGGTTACTGTAAACAAGAATAGCAGGATGGAGACTGATACTGAACTCTGAAATATTGACAGAGAAATTAGTTACTTTCAGAGTCTGATTTTGTTAAGCATGACATAGCTTGCGGGGTCATCACGACCTCATCATTCAGCATGGTGGCTAAATCCCTCCGCTCTCTGATCTCTGGGGACAAGATTCAAGGAGCACACAAGATCAAGACCCCCCTTCACAGCTGTGGGTGAACATTTAGTTCACCAGAATCATAACATCACCTTGGACAATGTACAAGTCATAGCACGAGAGGAACGCTTCTGGAGCAGAAAGATCCGGGAGGCCATAGAGATCAAGACCCAGAACCCAACACCCAACAGGGACGCGGGATCATCCTGCCCGCCATCTATGACGATCTGCTCTCACGTGACCATCCCAAAGGTGGTCACGTGAGCGGAGGAATTTAGCCACAACGCTGAATGAAGAGGTCGTGACAACATCGCTGGCGGATTGTCGCGTATCAAACCATAACAACGTCTAGATATCTACATGTAAGCTTCAATTTTGTTTTTGTCCATCTGTTTCCATTGCCAGGTGACCAGGACTTCCTGATCAATTTGATTGACTCCCCAGGTCACGTGGACTTCTCTGGTGAGGTATCCACGGCAACCAGACTGTGTGATGGCGCCCTCGTTGTTGTTGATGTGGTTGAGGGGGTGTGTCCTCAGGTAAGACCAGAGTCTTCTTTAGAGCGTTGGTCAGTTTTAGGTTTTAACAAATTTTTGAGGCTAAAAATAAGAGTAGGAAGAAAACACAAACTGGAATGCATTTTAACTTAATGTTTTATTTGAAATACATGTTACGGCATCCCTTTTGTATTCTTTGGTTCTCATTTCTGTATGAACCTATACTGTTATGGCATGGCTGCCACTACAGCCAAAATGCTAATGAGCTACATGGTGCAACTACATCTTGCCAAATATGGCTTTGTTTTTTTGTTCAGTGATATCAACTCATGATACTCTCATTGCAATAAACAAAACCAGAAACAAGTTGGCATTATTTCATTTAGCTATGTACTTGTGCCCGTGTATACAGGTGTAACTGCATTTTTTTCCCTACTGATTTTTATTTTGTGCTATTTTTAAACTGACTGGTTCCACTTTGGAGGTAAACAATATGAGAACCATAGAAATAAAAAGGGACGCCCTAATCAACATAAGTTAACTGTCATCTGCCCAGTGCAAAATTCTATCATACAACACAGAAAAATACAGTTGACTATCGTTAATTAAAACTTTGTTACAACAAAAGTTTGGATATACTCGTTGTTTACATCAAATGTTGGTCTAGACCATGTATTTACATATGTTTGCAATAAATAACACCGATGTTCCTTTTATTTAAGGCATGTAGGATCATTGCATTTATCCCAAAAGTAATCTACTGTTATAAAAAGCTTACTTGGATGAAATTATTCCGTCTGGTTTGCGTCATTTAGAAGAAGTTGAAATCAAGAAATGAAGGTGATTTTCAATGATCAGGCAATTGACTGATTTTCTTTTTTTAAATAAAGAGTGCTATGGACGAAATCATGATTCGTGATCAAAAAGTTGTGCATAGTTTTTCACTGATTTCTTGAAACGTGTAATATCCACTAAGCTGAAACTTCAACAGGTTAGGTTTTGCACATTCTTCTTTGGATTTTGAGTGACGTTATTGCTGGAAACAAAATGTAAAAAAAAGAAAATGATCCTAAAATTCGGATATAACTAACGTTTTGCTGAGGTGTATTTGAGCTGTACATGCAGTTTTGGGGTAGTATACTGGAAAGTGAAGATGTTGATAAACAATTATTATTGGTTGTGTGAAAAAGCAAAAAAAAAAAGAAAGAAATCCTGTAAAATAGTGGCTCCTGGTGTGCTGACGTTTTAAGAAAAATTGTATTTTTCCAACGCTGGTCGGCCAACCAGCATTGGAAAAAATTGACTACTTTCAAAAACTGTTTCTAATTTTTCTCATTTAGTTATTTCGCATTTGCTTTGCAATTGATTACACACCTGTGAAGGGGTACAAGCCTGCTAGACTGATTCTCTGATCTTACAATTCCCATGGATTCTATAAATTGCTCTGTTTCATCTTAAGTGGGGTCAGGGAACCAGAGGACAAGAACATGATTGGTTTTCTTGTTTTTCCAGCATCTACAAGCCCAAAACTTCAAACAAGTCAGTTTAACAATATATTTGCTGAAACATATTAATCCTCCAAATCCATTTATATCTGAAAATTGCAGCAAAATTACAATAGATTTGTTTTCGACTCTTAATTATCTTTCCTGGTGTAAAATCTCTACACAGACCCATGTAGTCCTGCGCCAGGCCTGGTCCGAGCATATCACCCCTTGCCTGGTCCTCAACAAGATAGATCGTCTCGTCACGGAGCTCAAGTACACACCGCTAGAAGCCCACCTACGACTGCAGCAGGTGCTGGAGCAGGTGAACGCCGTGGTGGGCAACCTGTTTGCTTCAGGAGTCCTGGAACAAGCTACAGTGAGTCTGTTTGTTTGTCTTACTGTTCTGCAGACTGGTACATGGAATATTCTGAATCTGGCCATGGGCATTTATTTCCATAATGCAAATAATATTGCAAGCAATATAACAACATGAAGTAACAAGTAATCGGTCTTTTTAAAAAAAAAATGTGAGAGATAAGAACAGAACAATTGAAAGGTATGTAATATCAAATGAATTTTATTCTGGTACTTTAGTTTTGCAACTCGCGATGTTGCGTCCGAAATCATCGAACTTCGTCAGGCAACTTATGACCACTCCGGCCACAGTTTCCGTAATGAGAAAGTTGTGGTTCCAGACGAACCAGCCTCGACTCCATGGGCGCGTGCGCGTTCCTTCACTAACCCCTGGCCGTGATGTACACGTAAACGATGCTGACTGGCTATTCAGAGCGTACTGCGCGGGCATTTCGAAGATTGCACGCCGGGCGCACCCATAATGCGCTCGCGTGCTTTGCACATCACACGTCATGTACGAATATTCAAAAGTGCGCGATGCCTGTACGATATGGATTATGGCAGCCTCGTTTTTCGCTAAAAAAACACACACCTGTATCTGCGGTTGTAAAGGGACGAAAGGGGTACGTACGTTTAATACAAATCTTTGCTAAATAACGCAACGTCCAAACCTTATGTTTGAAAGGATGGATTCTTCAAAACACAACTTTCAACATTTTAAAGATGGCGTCGGCGCGTAAAACGTATAAACTGCAGCCTAATTATAATGTGCCATAGTTTGACACATTTAAAGAGGTTGTGGAATGCTCGAAGACATTTCCGGGTTTTTTCGGGTATATGTAGCCTAAGGTGTGATGAAATAAAAACGACTATTGTGTCTGTCATGAAATGAGTACAAAAGGTACTTTTGAGAGCTGTTTTTCAGGTCCTGTTTCGACCCGAACGTGCAATTTGTGTAAAAGTCGTCGTTGGGGGCAGCAAACAAAACATAGTAAATCGTGATGTAATAAACAGGACTCGTTTATACTACGCTGCATCGGGAGTCCTGTTTATTACGTCACGATTTACTATGTTTTGTTTGCTGCCCCCAACGACGACTTTTACACAAATTGCACGTTCGGGTCGAAACAGGACCTGAAAAACAGCTCTCAAAAGTACGTTTTATACTCTTTTCATGACAGACACAATAGTCGTTTTTATTTCATCACACCTTAGGCTATATACCCGAAAAATGACGGAAATGTCTTCGAGCATTCCACAACCTCTTTAAATGAGACAAATCCAGGGGTTGAGATCGCGCAAGGCATGATGGGAAACAACATGGCGCAGCAAGATCTCGTACCCATGGGAACGAGGTTGTAGACGAATAGGAGCACTGGCATTAAAGAGGCATCAGGGAAGCCATCTGGGAAAGAAAAGAAACAGCCATCCCTCAACAAAAATGGTGGGCTACGTTTTAACTTATCTCATGCATGGGACCGGGCCATTCAATTCATTCCTAGCCATCTGTCCGATGATTCGGATGCAACATTGCAAGTTGTAAAACGTAATTTCCAGAAAAAGATTTGTTTTATATTTCATCTGAAACTACTGGATGACTGAGAACATGCATCAATAAATCATAAGGCAGTTATGGAGGCATGTCCCAAAGCCAGGGGATTTTGTGGAGATGCTTTGACAAACAAACTGAAACAGCATTCCTAAAATACAGATCCAGACTTACAATCAGATAAACGCAAATACAATACATATGAATTAGAAATATTGATGGACAAACAAAATACATAATACTGATGATTAATAAATCATGCAACTACATTTAGTCAGTAAATAAATAAACGGATGAATAACATGTAGCGGATCAAGTAATAAATGAAGGAATAAATTATCAAACACCAGTTAATTAATTTAAACAAAAAAATGAAAATTTACAACTAAAGTGTTGCCGAAAACTTTCTTCTTAGTTTTACTATTGTGATAATTTTATGCATAACGTTGTGTTAGGCCTGCGCCCTATTTCATCAAACTCTTCGTAACTTACGATGCATCGCAGCGATGCGACGTGTCGTATCACTACGATGCGTCGCAGCTGCGACGCGTCCTGCGATCCACTTCACAAAACACGTCGTAAGTGCGTAGGTGCATTTATAGCACAACTCGGTGACTTTTTTATGTATCATGTCAGCGTTCAATAAATAGTCATCTGACATTCAACAAAGAGTCGTCGGATCTCAGCTCGAAAGTTGTTAAAACGTGAAACAAAATGGCGGCCGTGTGATGCAATTCTGAAGGAAAACAAGCTTTCATTGGACTGTATAGCTACTTTGAAATTTCAAATGCAATATTCCAGTCTAATTCATTATTATTCAATGAATTTTCTATTTACAACTTTACACACATTGCCTCGGTATTATAATCTCGTTTATGTAATGCTTATGGCATAAAACTGGCTTAGAAAACGACTCTTCTTATTTTGCGGTGACCACTAAACACGTCGAAACGTGTTTTAAGCCGTTGTCAAGGAACTGACTGAAATGGATGATACGACGCGTCGCGAGTTGCGACGTGTTACACGTCGTAACTCGAGTTGCGACGCGTCGCAGCGCTTCGTGAAATTGGGTGCTGTTCTTGCACATTTAAACATAACACCATATTTACCTAAATCTAGTCAAGTAGCTTCCATTTCGCCTTAAAATATGCCTTTTTTAATCATCTTCATAATAAATTTTGTAGCCATATGAGGGGAATTGTCAGTAGTTTATCAAGCAGTATTTACACAGCCTTTCAGAAAGATTTTGCTTGCATTGAAAAATTGCTCATTCATAATTTCGAATTCTGTTTTTCAATAATTTTAGACATAAACTACATTGAAACACTTAATTTTAGACATAAACTACATTGAAACACTTAATAGGCAGCTTTCCTAAAAAAAAATATTTACAGATTCCTTTAGTCGTTTAAAATCTTGTTAGTTTGTTTGAACTGAGTTTATGATTCCTTTCTACTGTGTGTCTTGAACCTGTTGAGCCAGGAATGGGTTTGTAAAGTGTTGTCAAATTGAGTATGATTTTCTTGTGATAATGGGTTCGAAGCCTGCATTGGTGGCTTTCAGTCTTTCATTTCTGTTTACGGTCAAGTTTCTGCATATCTTGAACAGGGCAAGATAAATGTATATTGTTCTTGTTGTAGGTTAAAACATAGATACTAGGCTTATTGCAAGTTGTCTATTTTTTGTACTTAATGTCCATAATCACTTTTTAAAAGTGCAGCAGTGGTGCAGGTCGACTGCACATCACAGAAAATTGTTCATCACAGGGGTAATCATGCCATTCCCCGTTTATCTGTACAATAGCACAGTCTTCATAAGCTCCCCAGCTACCGGTATTAGGTTGGCTTTCCGACCAATTCCTGTACTCCACCTCATCAGTACCATCCTGACACTTCCAAGTACCTGTCAAATATAATGCAATGATATTTAAATAAACAGAGATGGGAATTGACAAACAAACAATTCTTCAAGGGAACCCAACCCAACCCAATCCAACTCAATAACTTAACCCAGTTTAATTGTTAAGTTTAATTTTAAATTCCGGCATTGTGTACAACCAACCTTCTTCCTGGAGATCATTGCAATTGATCCAAAACTGGGTTGTAAGTAACCCAACAAATAAATCAGTTTCCTCCTGAGACTGTGGCACGACCAAGACACTTCCCATCTTGATGCACTCATCTTTTGCCTCAAACCACGTTAGGCGCTCAGTGATAGCTTTGAAGCATTTGCCACCCCACAGGATCCAAGTACGAGGACACGCCCCTCTAGAAGCAGTGCACATCCCGCTACCATCAGTGCATCTGATCATAAGACAAAGGCTTATCAAGCCAAAGATGAACGGTTTAAGAGACACCATCATCTCTCACATCTCACCCGACTGGTGTCTATTGGTGAAATGAGTGGACTGTACACGTCGAGTACGGTAATCATCTTGTCGAGCATCAGATGCTCCAACTCTGATATTTTCATTTCATTTCACAAGGGAAGATATCAAAACAACCTCAGAGCTCTTTCTGTTTACTGTCACTCACTTTTTGCTTTAGTCTGCTAATCATTGACAGGAGAAAACCAATAATTTGGACATTGATGCCACACTGCTGACCTCAAAACGTCACTTAATAATTAACATGTAGTTGCGACACTGTTCAATAACTTGAATACAGATTTGTGGCAGACATGACTTTGCAAGTGGGCCACATGCATGTAGTACTTAACCTCTTCATAATGTTAACCAGAAGAAAGATTTGTTTCAGCATCAAAATGGAAGTCGAACACATCTCAAATAAAACACTTCCCTGGAATGTTTTCATAAATAAATGACCAAGAATGCCTCAATCAATTGTTACATGTACATGTACACATGGCATGCATGGTACATGTACAATGTAGTTTGTAAAGTGAAATTGTGGACTCCATTGAAAACATGTCGAATCATCTCACGTTACAAGTGATCGTAACCATTTAGTCACTGTATCACCCCAAACCACCCTGCCTATTACTCACTGTAGCACCTGAAAAGAAGCACTCTACAGGGTGAGTCAAAAAAACGAAACCCAAATGTCAGGACTATTGTTTTAGTGAAGTTCTGCATGCAGCACTTTCAAAATCTAGGATATGAAAGCCCAATTCATAAGCTATTGTTTAGTATCAGAATCATTCAAATCACTTGTGTACTTTTCAAGTTAAGAATTTTAAACACAACCACCATTTTAAAGTTCTGTCCACGGATCACAAAAAAAAGTGTCCGTTTTTTTTCAGCAAAACGAAAACAATTCACACACATCCCTATGTGATTTGTTTTCGTTGTGCTGAAAGAACACTTACCTTCTTATGATCCTTGGACAGAACTTTAAAACGGTGGTTGTGTTTAAACTTGCGTAACTTAAAAAGTACATGAGTGATTTTAATGATTCTTGCACTAAAAGAAAGCTTGCTAATTGCGCATTCATATCCTAGATTTTGAAAGTGCT